TAGTAGGTCATTTGCAAAAGGCATGGGAAGAACAGCTGATGAAAAGGTCTAATAGTTTGGAAAACTGCTTAACCTTATTGCTCTATTTCTGGATTTCTCCTCATGGCCAAAGGCTGTTGAGATCCTGATTTCCCCTGGAGGTTTCTCATTTAGGAATGCAGTGAAACCTCTGAAATCCAGAGGAGTTGGGGAGAAGGCCAGCTGGAATTAGGGAACAGTTTGAATAAGCTTTAAGAACATTCAGGTCTATTGTTTTCAAGGACATAAGATCACAGATTTGGAAAGAGCCTAGCTCAGCCTTCTGCTCAGTGCAGGAGGCCTTGTGCTTCATCCCGAACAAAGCTTCATCTGGGCTTCTCTTGAATGCTTCCAAGAATGGGAAGTTCACTATTCTGATAGATCATCTATTTCCTCTTTGGAAAGTCTTCCTATACCTGAGCTGGAATCTGCCTTTCTGTAAGGTCCTGCTTGCCTTCTTGTATTCAGCAGAACCAGGATTGTTTTTTTTTCCCCAGATCATTCTCAAAAGAAATTATCATGCACCAAATAGTAGTACTTCACAGCATTCTCTTCTGCAGGCTGCACCTTCAGAATATTCATTGTTTATATGGCAAATGTCATCAACTCTAATTAGAAATAGAAATGCTTACCTCTAGTCTCGAGTCTCTAAATGAACAACTGTTCATTCAGAGTGGAACAGAGCTTAGATGGTACCTGTACTGGCCTCAAAGTACAGATGAGCAAACAGAAGTCCGCTGAGGAAAACTGCCTTACCCAACTTCAGAGAGAGAGAGTAGGGGTGGGTGGGAGGTTGGGGGGCTCTTTTCTCTTCACCCTGCCTCCTATCATGCATAACACAGCAGAATTTCTCAAGTTCTTGCAAGTGCTTAAGAAGTTTGTTCTCTTACGCATTTAGAAAAATCCCTCCTTCAAATTATATTTGCCCTATCAGTGAAGTACGGATTAGCACAGACTGAATTTAGTCGAGGTTATACTGTCAAAGAAAAGTATCATTCAAAGTATATTAAGCTTCCTTGCTCTCTGCTGTCAGAAAATCATCTCCCTTGCTCTAGAATCCTAGCTCAAGATGGACAACATACCTATACAGCTACCCAGGCCTATCAAATTTCCTTAAGAGTCTAGCTACCTACTTAATTTAGGAGAACCTTCTAACTTTAGGGCTGAGAGTTTGCTAGGACATAGGGCATCCTGTGTTTCTGTTTTACCCTGCTGTGTTCGTTTTAAAGTTTCATATCCTCTTTCCATTTTAGTCTGATTCTCTGGTAAGAAGACAAAAGAAAGACTTGGAGAAGCAAACTAGGCACTCAGTGATTGGTTTCTTGTCCCAGTCGCCAGCAGCCCTGCAGTCACATGCTTGGAAGGGAACATTCCTCCCTGCCTCAACCCACAGCAATCTCCCTCTTCTCTCAACAAGGTATTGCATTTCCAGTTCTTACACTTGTTCTGGCACAGATTCTAAGCTACCTCGTGCTGCTTCCTGGTTTGCCTGGGTGCTAGGCTCCATGGATCCTGGAATCACAGAGACCTGGGTTCTAGTCCTGACTCTACAATTAGTTGGTTTTATGGCTTTGGAAAGTTACTGAACCGTTCTGAACCTCGGCTCCCTCATTTCTTAGATGAAGACAATTATGCTACCTACATCATACGGTTGTGGAGAGGACATAATGCCTAACAGGTGTCATTAACATTTAGTAAGATTCCATAAAAGGTATCTGCGTAGTATCATTAATATCATACTCCAAAAGGCAGAAACTGAAACCTATACTTTTCTAATGCTGCACACAGTAGGTGCTCCATAAATACCTTGATGGATTCTGGTTTAGGCTCCATTTGGCAGTACGTTCACCATCGGAAACATTCTAAGAATCATGTAAAGACAATTGCTATTCCCAGGCTCCCTTTTCTCCATATTCTTTTTCCCATTAATTATTGCAGTGGGGAGGCTCACTCTGTCCTGCCACTGTTCACACCTGTCAGCTTGCATCTTAGAAAAAAGTTCTTACTTGACAGACTCTGAGAACTTGCTGTCCAGGCAAAGAAAACTTTATGATGATGAATAAAACACAAGCCTTAGGTAGCCAGCATGCCAGCAAAAGAGAGGAAGAGACACTGACAAATCCAATCCCCCAAAAGAAACAAAGCAACACAACAAAGAGGTGGAAAGTAAAGGATTAAGATATGCCTAGAATACGCTTGCTTATGAGGACCCTTAAAAAGAATCCAAGTTTTTGTGCTTACAGTATTCCCACAGGAATCTGAATATGGTTAAACTTTCCTTTTAGCTGGGAATCTGGATTAACATTAATACCTAAGTTTTTTTTTTAATATACTTACATTTTTAACAGAAATTACATTAGATGTTCCTTGAGGCAAAAGACCATATATACAACACCAACATCCAGTTATAAAGAGCTAAGGAATCTCCCAGCTTCCCTAAAAGCAGAAGATATCCTGGTGGAATCTTGTTGCATTAAATGAGCAATTTTTTTTTGTCTTCCTATTGCCGATTATGTGTTTATGTTTTTAATTTTGTGTTAAGGACCCAAATGAAAAATATTTTGGCTGAAATGAATGTGTTATGTTGCAGCCCCAATTGAGAGTGAGGAAAGAACTCAGTGCCAATGTGTTGGAGAGAATGCAGCAGTTCCTGGAATAGTCGGGTTCCCTGGCTTGAATCCCACTCTGACATCCTTGGCTGCTTACCTTGGGCAAGTCCTTCACCTCACAGGGTTTCAGTCCCTTCAGATTTTAAATGTTTTCTATGGGCTCTTCCGTGTCTGAGATTCTATGAGGCTACCGGGAGCATAAAGATTAGCAAAAGAAGCTGTCCAAATCTCTGAGTGTAGGGACCAGAGCAGTAGAAAGAGAATGTGATAATAGGTATGAAAAGCCTTGGAGAAAAGTAAAAACACTGAATGACACACACTCTCCAATCTGCTATGGCATGTTCCAAAATCACAGGCAACTAACATTCTCCTGAGAGCTCAGTGCTCACCCAAACACTCATCATTGAGCCAACAGGAAGCAGAGAAGGACAATGCTTTTCTGGTTGGGGACCTTGGCTGGGACAGAAAGGAAGAGGGGAGTCAGCTTCATAAGCCAGTGAAATGGCAATGAACCTTGCAGGCTGATCAGCTCCAGCCTGGCATTGCCAAGGAGGATGATCTACTTCATCAAACCTGGGCCAAGCTCTGGCTCAGACACCCAGGCCAAAAATAGAAAGGGGCTGGGAGAAGAAATGTGTTTACTTTTGTGATTTCCCCTAAAGGGTCTCTTGACAGTATTATTATCTCTTCACAAACAGAATGGTCCACAGACCTCACTCCATTGATAAACCCTCCCAAACAACTCATGTAGAGACCTAAAGGCTTCTTAACATTTCGTGGTCACTATTTGGGCAGCTAGAAAGCAAGTTTTGAAGGCAGAATGATGGAATGGAAAGAGTTCTGACCTAGGCAAACTATGAAAATCCCTCTCCGAGGTTCTGCACCATCAAGCACTTGCGTTAGAATGTATGTATCTGCTTAGATTTTTACAGTTTCTACCAGTGACTCTCAACCAGGGGCGAATTCACAGCTCAGGGGCTCTTTTGCAATGTCTGGAGACATTTTTGCTTGTTATAACCTGGGGGTGCTATTGGTATCCAATGAATAGAGACCAGAGGTGCTAAACATCAAAGAGTTATCCGGTCCAAAATGCTAATAGTGCCAGGGCTCAGAACCTTGGTTTAGACTGAAGCGAGGAGAGTCAATGGGAGAAGAAAACAAGGACCAAAGGAAGGAAGAAAAAGGGGTTAAAATTCTGTTTTGAGGTCATGAGGTATCCATCAGTTACATGTTCTCCAGCTTTTCTCCCCATGTCCAATGCCTTTTAATTATTCCGTGGGATTGCAGGGCCATGTTTGAGTAGCTTTTTCATAGGAACATCTTCCTTGTACCTAAAATTCCAAGCCCTGATGCAGTACAAAGAGCTCCACTATAAGACATGGCCAAGACATAAATACAAGCAGTTATGAAACAAGTAGAACTGGAAGGTGGGCAGTGGGGGTGCGTGAAGGGAAGAAAACATATGCCTATAACGCCGTTTCTATGAGTCAGTGTTGCTGAGGTAACAACACAGAACAATAACCATAGGGAGAGCTGAGCTATACTAAGAGCAGGCAGAACTGATTCGGAGCACAAGTGTCAGGAGAGACGCAGCTTTGCAGCAACAGATTCAAAAGCAAATGAAAGGGTTAAGCAATCTGTGCATGTCATTCCGTATCATTCCACATTAAGTCATGGGCAGTTATTACAAGTAGTTACCTGTGGTTTCCAGTGGGGGAGGAAACGGCACTCCAGTCAAGGGGTTTTGGAGAAACAGGTGCAGCGAAGGCATGGTCAAACAATTTATTTACTGTAAACTTTAGACTTTGCTCAGGAAAACAACTGAAGCTGCCCCTCGAATCCCTGCCTAAAATACCCCGTGTAAGCAAATAAGAGGAGCGGGGAAGAGTCCATGTTCACAGCTAAAAGGTCCAAGATACTCAAAATCCTCAAGTTCAAGGGTGTAGGAAGGAAAATCTCCTTCGGATACAAATTACCAGCAGCAATATATTACCCCTAATACTTAAATAGTGAGGTAGATACATGGAAAAATCATCAAAACATAGCAGACCCAGGTCCTCTAGGACTAAAGCCCTTCAGACATAAACTTATAAGTTCCATGCAAAGAGGAACTGAACTGTACAAATAACAAATAATCAAATAAGTTTTCTCTCTTTTTACAGCTTAAAAAAATAAAAAAGGCAGAAGGGTGCCCCTCCTCCTGCATATCTCTATACAATTTTATTCTAAGTTTATTACACTCAAGTTAAATAGTCTGTTTAGTGTTCTGTTGGTGGGGGGGTTCTTATAAAGTAGAAAAACTGCTTTACAGCAGTGAGTCATTTGTACTACAGTTCCTCCCTTGTGAATCAATGTTATCGCTAGGCACAGTACCTTGATGGCCCACAAAGTCTTCCGTGCCTGGAAGGTCTTCACACAGCAGTTTATTTTCTTTCTCCTGTTCCAGGTGATATCCACTCTGCTCCCCTGTGTTGCCGTTGCTGTTGCTGGAGTAGCCATTCCCATAGGCCTTCAAAGAAGACCTGTGCAGGCACAGAAGTTCCTGGAAGGCAATCCTGAAATCTGGGCTCCGACAGTAGATAAGGGGGTTGAAAGCAGAGTTGACATAGCCCACCCAATTTAGGAGGATGTAAACTTCCTTAGGGATGAGGTTATCCCGGATCACATGCACAATGTTGACGATAAAGAAGGGCAGCCAGCAGAGGGTGAAAGTGCCCATGATGATACCTAACGTCTTGAGGGCTTTGTGCTCCTTCAAGCAGAACTTGGAAGACCTGCGAAGTCCATGTCCCGTCCGCCCGTCCTGCTCCACCTGGCTAAGGTTCTGGGCATGGAAGCGGCCCTCAGATTTGTCAATCTTTTGGAGCTGCCTTTTGGCCACCTGAAAGACTCTGGAGTAGACGAAGACCATGACCACCAGGGGCACGTAGAAGGACACGATGGAGGAGGCAATGGCATAGGCTTGGTTCGTGAAGAAGTCACAGCAGGTCTCCTTGGCATAGCAGTTAATGGCTTCCTGGTGGGTGGCCCGGTACCAGTGCATCTGAATGGGCAAGAAGGAGGTAAGGCCTGACACGATCCACACCATCAGAATGATCACCCGGGCCTTATTCTTGGTCAGCAGGCTCTGGTACTTGAAGGGTGAAGTAATGGCAAAGTAGCGATCCACCGCGATCACGCACAGGGTCTCAATGCTGGCCGTGACGCAAAGCACATCAATGGAAGTCCAAAACTCACACCAGAAGTTGCCAAAAGTCCACATTTTCATGAGAATATGGCTGGCCCCAAAAGGCACCACTGCCAGGCCCATGACCAGGTCAGCACAGGCCAGTGAAGTGATAAAGTAGTTGGTGACAGTCTGCAGACGCTCGAACTTGGCAATGGCTGTGATGACCAGCACATTGCCAAACACAATGGCCAGGACGATGAGCGACATGACGATGCCCATACCCACCACCCACGCCTCGTCCCGTTCCTGCGTGACGTCGTGGTCCGGCGCGTGGCTTCCATTGGGCGCCAACAAGAAGGCGCTGCTGTTCCCGGGTTGCCCCATGGCGCGCAGTCTGGCAGGTGAGCGCACTGGCTGCCGGCGCCTCAGCGGGCGGATCCCCGGCGGGGCTCTGAGGGCCGCGAACGGACGCCTGGAAGCCTCATTCAGCGGCCGTGAGGTGGGTGTGGTGGGGGCACGTCCTGCACACTTAGCTTGTCGGGTGCTAGGGGCTCACGATGCCAGCCAGTTCCAGCCCGCCCTCTGGAGAAGCCGCCTCGGAGTGCGTACTGCCCGTTATGTGCACAGGACTTTAGGAGAACTGCCCTCGCTGTGACGTGCGGGAACTTTCGGCCAATGGCACGCCGGCAGCCCCGTAGGGGCGAGGCACCCCTCCGCTTTCCTACCCTCCCCTCACCCTCCCTCTCCCGGGGCTGGCCCGGGCGGGGCCCAGCTGCTCTCTGGCGGGCGGGCCACCACTCCTTCCCGGCTACCCGGGCTGGCCCCAGAGGGCTAAAGCTGGAGCTGGCGTGCTTACCAGCCAACCCGGGAGCTTTTTTGGCTCTTCTGTGGCCGCTACCTGCCTGCCCTGGGAGCCTGTGCAGTCTGAGGTCTCAGGGCAAAGGGCAGCACACCGGCACTGCCCCACATACGGAGGGAAACGAGAGTGCCCACCGAGGCACGCACATACAGGCACAAATACACCCCGGCAGACATGCTCAGACTTATACGGAACCACAGCCATAGACACGGAGACACACCCTCCCAGGGCACCCGCAGGCACACTCGCGAGCGCGCTCACACAGAAGCCGTCAGGCACAAAGTCACCCCTGTCCAACACAGAAACGCGGCCAGAAACAAACACAGAAGCACCAGAAGCACAAAGGCATCGTGACACACACAAAAAGTAAACACAAGCCGGCTTAGAGGCATGCAGAGCGACACAGAGGCGGATGTCTCTATCTGGGTACTCACAAACTTCCCCCACCTGAGCGCTGATAATGCCCCTCTCCCAACATACACCCAGTAACCCAGTATATTCCCTTTCAGACATTTGGCAAGACCGCAGGAGGTGACTTCAGCAGCTGCCGATTTCCTCAGCACACTCACTGTCAAGTACTTTCGGTGCCCTCTTTGGGAATTTGCAGGCATCAAGACAGTTTTACCCTTTGGATTTCATTCGGAGAGGGGGTAAGGATGTATGTATTTTGGGATGGAGAGAGAAAGTTCTGTGCTTTCGTTTTAGTTTCGTTTTGTTTTTAACTCTTAATAAGAGTGTGGCATCACTCACTCATCTGTTGGACAGGAGATGCACTGAGAATTCAAACAATTTCTTCAGTAATCCCAATGCAACTAAAAAAAATCCTTTCATCCTCTGGATAGTTTGTTAATCTTTCAGGTTGAGCCATATGAAATTGCCACCATTTGGTGTCTGTGACTTACCAAAACGGCAAATTCATATGATTCAGAGTATTAAGAATGTCTTAAGATTAAGAACTTTTTGAAACTATAGAAAGCAAAAGATAATTCTCCCTTAAAAAAATAAAGTAAGACCAAATCTCAAAACTAAGATCTTTGTTCACAAAACACTACCCTTTGCATCTGGCATGTGACTTTACCTCTAAAGTTAAATTAATTTTCAGGGTTTGATTTCCCATGTATTAGTGGTGCCTTTGAAAAACTGAAAGTAATTCATGAAGTGTAACTAAACATACTTTGTAGATTACATAATAACTAACAATGGCTAACATTTATGGTCCATTCTGCTATGTACTTTTCATGCATTAGTCTATTTAATTCTTCCCACGGTCCCATGGGGGTGGGGGTTATTTTTAGCTTAATTCACAAATGGGGCTCAAAGAGGAAAATGGCTTGCCCAGGGGCAATGGCCGGGCAGTGCTAGAATCTGGATTTGACCCAGGTCTGCCTGAGTCCATGACCCATCTTTTAATCTTTTCAATGTATTGCATAATTACATGTAGACAGGAGTGGTGGATAGGGAGGAAGCACTACAACTGGAATTGGAATACCCAGGTTCCAGATTGACCTAACTTGGTGCTTGCTAGTTCACTTTTTTTAAGAAAAATCACAAAGTACCTAATTTCTTTTATCCATAAAGGGGCATAAAGTCCCTTCCATTGGGGTGAACGAGAATTGAATGATATAGTAGTAAATATGAAAGTGCTTTTGCACATATATATGTCACATAAATATAGGTTGCAAGTGAAGTTTATATAAATTACTTAGTGGTTTAGAATATATTGTTAATCTTCTTTACAAGAACAATAAAAAACTTGAGGGCAAAAGTTAGTTGGGTGTTTACTCTGGAAGTAAAGCTAAGAAACAGAATTTAACCTACATGTCCTCTTAAACTTCCTTCATAGCAGAGACTGACTTTTTGCAAGACAGATGCCTTAGAAAACAAGTATTTCCCATAAAAGCCACAAATATTAATTAAGGTTCTATTATATTCACATAGTTTTCAAAATGTACTTACCTCATATTTGTGTTTTCCAGAATTGCCTCTGGTAGGATGCATTTAGGAAGAGGCAGTGTTTGTTATGCAGCAACGTCATCTACCCAAACTGTGGAACTAAAAACCTCCTTCCTGTTTGTGAAGTTATGTCATAAATAAGAATATTGTTTAACCATCCTATAATAAGAAAAGAACAAAGAAAATCCTTTTAAGACAAATAGTAATTGATCACGTATTTAGATATACACATAAGTCACTTAAAAGTTTAACTGAATATTTTGGGAAACTCCTTTTTCAAAACCCACAAATACTAAATCAAGAGGGACTGGCTAGCCATAAGCAGAAAACTGAAACTGGAGCCCTTCCTTACACCTTATACAAAAATTAACTCAAGATGGATTAAAGACTTAAACATAAGACCTAAAACCATAAAAATACTAGAAGAAAACCTAGGCAATACCATTCAGGACATAGGCATGGGGAAAGACTTCATGACTAAAACACCAAAAGCAATGGCAACAAAAGCCAAAATGGACAAATGGGGTCTACTTAAACTAAAGAGCTTCTGCACAGCAAAAGAAACTATGATCAGAGTGAACAGGCAACCTATAGAATGGGAGAACATTTTTGCAATCTATCCATTTGACAAAGGGCTAATATCCAAAATCTACAAAGAACTTAAACAAATTTACAAGAAAAAAAATAAACAGTCCCATCAAAAAGTGGGCAAAGGATATGAACAGACATTTCTCAAAAGAAGACATTTATGAGGCCAAGAAATGTGAAAAAATGCTCATCATCATTGGTCATTAGAGGAATGCAAATCAAAACTACATTGAGATACCATCTCACGCCAGTTAGAATGGCAATCATTAAAAAATCTAGAGACAACACATGCTGGAGAGGATGTGGAGAAATAGGAACGCTTTTACACTGTTGGTGGGAGTGTAAATTAGTTCAAACGTTGTGGAAGACAGTGTGGCTATTCCTCAAGGATCTAGAAGCAGAAATACGTTTTGACCCAGCAATCCCATTACTGGGTATATACCCAAAGAATTATAAATCATTCTACTGTAAAGACATATGCACATGCACATGTATGCTTATTACAGCACTGTTCACAATAGTGAAGAGTTGGAACCAACCGAAATGCCCATCAATGATAGACTGGATAAAGAAAATGTGGCACATGTATACCATGGAATATTATGCAGCCATAAAAAGGATGAGTTTATGTCCTTTGCAGGGATATGGATGAAGCTGGGAACCATCATTCTCAGCAAACTAACACAGGAACAGAAAACCAAACACCATATGTTCTCACTCATAAGTGGGAGTTGAACAATGAGAACACATGGACACAGGGAGGGGAACATCACACACTGGGACCTGTGTGTGTTGAGGGGTGGAGGGCTAGGGGAAGGATAGCATTAGGAGAAATACCTAATGTAGATGACAGGTTTATGGGTGCAGCAAACGACCATAGCATGTGTATACCTATGTAACAAACCTGCATGTTCTGCACATGTAATTCAGAGCTTAAAGTATAATAATAATAATAAAAAAAAAAAGAAAGAGAAACTGCTTATGTCATCTAGGAAGTTCTGGGCCTTTGCCCTCCAGACTTTATGAGTGGATGTTCTCTCTCTCTTCTGCTACTTCACCAAGCTGGTAGAAATGTCAAGATGTTGTCTGCTAACAAAGAGTCTTCTCTCCTGACCTCCTTTGTAATTATAGGGTTAGAGAAAGTTAGACAGGAAACGAGCTTAATACATCATTTAGTTTATTTCCCCCAGTTTGCGAATGAGGATACTGAAGTGAAAAAACAGGAAGTGTCCAGCTCAAAGCGGTAAGGAAAATTAGGAGTCCAGGTACGCTCCTGGCCTCACAAGTTTTCCCTGCCTAATGCTGTTGTTTTATTTCCCAGCAGAGGAGTTCTAGTAGCACTGCTTACTGTTCATATGGCCTTAGAGAGTTAATGCTTCGTTTGAACTGGAAAGTTCTTAGTAGACTAAATGCACCTTTATCTGATGTTAAGAATAAGCAGGCTCTTTTATGGTAATTAATAGCATCTAATTACATATTTTGTCAATCCCTTAAGACACTAATTTGTCGTTTCCTGCCCGTCGAACAGGAATACAACCCCACATTTGGATTTACCTAATGAATATTTGAATAGGAGTAAAGTTCCATGGTGCCAGAGCATGCCTTCATACCAACAGCTAAATGAGTTAGGAAAAATCTTATATAGGTCTTGGTTTAGACGACAGTCCTTCTTGTTCATGATCCTGAAGCACGAAACATCTGTAGATTTCTTTTCAAGCAATGGTTTAAAATGCTTGTCTTTAATAATGTCTCTGTACAGCATTATCCCATTAAATTTACATTAAATGAGATTAAATGCATGTCAAGTGCTTAGCATGCTGCTGTAGAAGAAAAATCCTTCTGTTAGTTTCTTGTTTTTGAATCAAAAATATATATAGAATACATATTGGTCCTATCTAATCATACATATGAAAGGACCCTTTGAACATGGATAATTGCTAATTTATTTTTAATTTGGAATTCTGTGAAAAATAATTGAAAAAGAAACAAAACTTGGTTCTTTATAAAGAAGAATGATTCGAAAATTACGATTATCATTGAGTAATATAGCTAGATGGGATGTCAGCGTTTTCTGAATGAAGCGTCTCACAATCTAGTCAGCTCTTTACACAATGTACTCACCAAAACTCAGAGCTATCTCTAGTGAGGGTAAGCTCACCAGCCCCTTTTGTAGGTGCACGTTTCTCTAGCTTTCCACAACTGAAATCCATCTCACCTCTACTCATGGATCTTAAGTCTGCCCCCTTGAGGCCACTAAAAACAAGTCTTTTCTCTGTCCTAGCTTTTGGGAGAATCCCTTAAAGTTCTCCTTAGAAAACAAAACCTCTTCAGATTTAACATTCCTTGTTCCCTTGGTTCTAGAGTCCCTTTTACCATCATGGTAGGCCTCTTTTATTCATGCTTAGGTTTGTCTATATCTAAACTTAACATCAATACCTGGAAAGATGCTAGAACAACTCATCAAACAATCAATTTGCAATCACCTTGGCAACTGTAACTTAGAGCAGAGCAACCAGCAAAGCTTTCCAAACAGCTGATTATACCAGATGAATTTAATTTCCTGC